CTGCTATTTTTTAAAAAAAAATTGGTTGTCCTGTCACTTTATTTTTTTTTAACTTTTTTTTCCCTAAAAAACAATTGAGAAACTACATATCATAAAGAAGATAGAGCTGGCTTGTTGAGGTCCCATTCCCAGTTGTGCAACTTATTCCTGATTTATTCCCTTGCTATGCATTTCCATATCTCTGCTTTCTATCATAAGGTTGGAGTCTGTTACCTAAAGATAAAAGACCAGACCATAATCTGTCCATCTTTTCTATCCTAAAGCTGGTGCAGGTCATACACTCAGCATGATATTGGAGGAGGAAATTTGTAGAACTTTGTAGATCAACTTCCGTGTTTAGAAATATAAATCCTTGCTTGAATGTTGGATTTACCTGCGTACCCTTTTTTGACATGATTCCACTCAGATAGCTAGAAAGTAGACTCAACACAGCAGATTGTAATTACAGTCTTCACATATTAAGCCCAGTGTTAGAGTTTGTTTCCAGTCCTATCTAGATGCAATTGAGCTCCAATTATGCAGTGAGAATATAGAATACTGTAGTGAATACAAATAACTTTTTAAAAATATGAATTTGTGATCACATAAGATTATTATAGTAGAATACACAGACAAACTGAAAGTTTGTAATCACTTTGGAAAATAATAAACTAAGTAAAAAGGCCACCCCAGGTAACCCAAATATTACTTTAACGTTTCAGTGAATGAATTTTTATGGAAAAAATGGTTAGCCTGCAGATATATAGTATTCATGTTTGTTTTCTGACTTTAACTTTTTAGTATTATTTGCATTTGATAATTTTAATAGTAACCAGATTTCATTCTTCTTCCCAATTTGAGAGGCAAACTCAGATTGGTAAACTCATTAAAAATACAATACTTGCATTTACTTCTATCAGAACAACAGTTCCAGCAGTAGAAGGATTGAATCTTCTCTGTTAGAACACCTATCTAGGAAAAGTATTGAAAATCTGGAACGGTATAATATATTTGTATGTCCAACAAATCTAGGAAATTTTCTGTTTTAAGAAAGTTGATTAACAGTAGATCTCTGTTCAGTTCAGTGGCTTTCAAATATTTCTTACATTATCAAGGAAACAAGATATTGTACTTGAAAGAAGAAAAAATGTTTCCTTGTGCAGTATTTTGATAATATCACCCCTTCTTTAAATAATATGAAGAATTTTGCAGATATCATTGACTAAATATTTAATGTTTTAATAAGTTGTTCCATAGAGTCACTTGGAGGCAGCTTACAAATTAAACAAACAAATGACTCTATCATCTGTCTATGCCTTTGAGTCAGTTTTTGATGCCTAGCGACTGCAGTTTTCTTGACAAGGTTTTTTGAAGTGGTTTGCCATTGCCTCCTTCCTAGGGCTGAATGAGAATGACTGGCCCAAGGTCACCCAGGTGGCTTCACTTCTTAAGGTGGGACTAGAACTCCTGGGCTCTAGCCTGATGCCTTAACTACTATACCAAACTGGCTCAATTTGATGATGATGATGATGACGGTTCTATCCATTCAGTTGTGTCCAATTCTTGGCAATTCTATGGACCAGCTCTCTCCACATTTTCTGATCTTGTATGGCTTCTTTTAGTTGTTTTATGCTCTGGCTGGTGTCAGCTTTGATGGTGTTTTTTGGTGACCTCGTTTCCTTTTACTGCTGACCATTCTGAGCGTTATATTTTATTTTATTTTATAATTATACATGGTATAAATTACTTTACAGTGGAGGGTTTAAAACTTGTTTTCCAGTCCTTATGATTTATAAGAAAAAAATAGAAGTAACTTAAGCAGGATTTCCAAGAATCAGGATATGGAGCTTTATGATCAAGTGTAATCCTGTCAGTTGTCTTTCCCTCCCACTACTCCCTGACTCTGATCCTAGAAGACACTGATAAAAAGTCAACATATTCTTATGTCATATTCTTCTGTTCTCATTTTAAAAATAATTCAAAATATATTAGTATGTAGTTTGATTTAATTTATTCTAAATGCAGAATTGAAGCAAAAGGAAATGGTTCTGCATTCACATACATTTAAAATCCTTCACTGTAAATATGATCTGAATCCAGAAAAAGGCTGGTTAAAATGAAGAACACCTGGTATTTGTAAAAAGCTCAGAATTCTTATCTGCTGAAATACTGGTTAGGCTTGTTGTTGTGTTCCATTTTTATAGCCTCAGGAAACTGGAGGTTTTAGTGAAGTGGTAAAAATATCTAGATACCAGTGTTCATCATGTTCAAACTCATTCTTGTTTTATGCCCTCACAGTAAATTTTACATCTTTTGAAAGAGGTGTTGACCAAAAAGGTTTTCGTTTCACTGTTTTCATTACTACCAGTTCTGCAATCCATGTTTTCATTTCATTTCATTTTATTTCACACACAGTTATTAGCATAACATGATCTGTTTCAGGATTGTCTTGGGGATCATCACAAAGAAGAACATATTAGAGCATCTCGAGCAACTAAAGCAGCACGTCGAACCCTTGGTGATTAGATATATCAGATCTCATTTGACACTTTAGACATCAGGAAGCATGAAACTTGTGAATTGTTCAGTGTTCTATCACAACATCTGGACAACCAATCATATACAACTCTAAAAGCTTTTAAAATAGAATGCCATGTAAATTTTAAACATATTATTTAACATCCATTTGTTGAAAACAAGCTAAATGAAGATATGAACTAATTAAAAGAAAACGTGAAGTATTTTAGCAATCCCAGTGATAGAAATTCTGGTATTCCCATAGATACTAGGATATGTCTTTTTCTTTTCCCTAGTTTTGTGAAATTACATAAAACATGCCAAAACTCTGTGATTAGAGTTTTCATTTTTGATTTTAGCTACTACTTAACCTGCAAATGACGTGTTAGTCTTGACATCTACAACAGGATATTTTTTATCTTATTGTTTGGGTTTCCTGTATTTCCTTGTTATCAACAGTAATGCTATTTATGAGATATCCCTTTTGCTGTATTTTATGACCCACAGATTCTAATTGCTGCTCTGCAGTAGTTGCTGTTAAAACCTGTCTTCCAAGTTTAGCTGCTTACATGTTTATTTAACTTGTATTTTTTCTAATACTTCACAAGTTTTTCATGCATCCTTATAAGAACAGTTACAGTACAACTACTAACCAGAGTAACAAGATTGGAAGCTTATTCTCTCTGCCTCTCCTATAATAGTATCTCTTAGGACAGCTTCACTCTTTGATAATAAATAGCAAGACTTTGATCATAACAGCATTGCTTTTTAATTTGGGGAAAATAGGGCTATAATTTTTTTTTTTTTAATCTGAATTTCAAATAAATTTATCTATGATTATCTATTGGTTAAGCTTATCTCTTATGGAGATACCCAAAGCAGTGTGCATAGTTGAACAGAGCCTCAAAATTGAATTATCAAGCAATTTTGAGTTTGGCTAGATTCAACTATATTTTCTTTTTACAATGGGATCAACTTCATTTACTCAAATCTTTTTTTTTTCCTTTGTTACTTTTTGTTGGTATATGATAATCAGCAACAAATTATCAGCGGGTGGGAGCTTGGTTATTTCCTAGGTGAAAGTAAGTAATAGTTTAGTTTAGTGACCATCCTCTTTACTTTCATAGTACTTTTATAGTTTTAACAAAACGATGGTTACTTCCTGTCACGATGCATTCTTTGGAATGATCAGGCTTTGCTGCTCTGTTCCTATCAACAAAAAAGATTTTGTGTACAAGAGAGGTTGATTGCCTTTAGACCTTGTAGTTAATTAGCTATATTTTGTGTGTGTCTCTTTCTAGGCGCCTCCTTGGCATCATAACAAAAAAAGATATCCTCCGACATATGGCCCAGATGGCAAATCAAGACCCCGCATCAATAATGTTCAACTGAACTCAATAACTGAGGAGAGAGAGGAAAGTGAAGAAGAGGTTCATTTGCTGAACAGTACAACACTTTAATATAAGGCATAGTTTTGTAACACAAAAGAAAGGCTGGATTTTTTGAAAAGTATACTGCTGGAATTTAGGAGTTGATTTAGGAAAAGGTGGTTTTACAATGGATATGACAGATTTTATTAGATGGTGACAACGAAAATCTGAAAACCTGCACTGGATGCACTCTGAATTGTTAGATCTGTCATGATAGTGCAGTCGGAAGTTGTATCAGCAGTTCATAACTCCAGTTTGGACCTTGCTGCTGTAGCATGGAAGAAATTGATGGTTGGTCCCTGTTTCTCAATCGTACTGAGTTGAGCCATCCTTGGAAAACTGGAAGATTTGGCCCTTTTTACCAGAGACAGTTGTTAATTGATGAAATGTATAGTTATTCCACGTTACCTCTTTACATTCCAGAAGAGCTTTTCTCTCTCCTGAGCCCCAACTGAGCCTCCTTACGATTGATGCGTCTTTTTGAAATGGTGGTTTCTCATATTGAGATGTACTGTGACCTGCTGAATTTGATCACAAGAAGGAAGTATTTCTTGTGCCATTTAAATTTAAGAGTTTGTATGTCATGAAAGTCTTGTGACAGTTTAGATCTACTGCAACAAAAGCAGATTGAGCAGGTTAATAAACTTGGGTGAAGCATGTTAAACCCTGCAGTTTAGTAGTTGCAAGTTAAACAGCCAAATCTGTTTCAAGTATGTTTCTGTTGCAAAATAATGACTTAGGCTTATGCAATTTTTGTACTATTAAAAACCCTAAGTTATATACCAATGTTGTGCAATGTAAAGAAAATACTACTACTCTACTAAGAACTGGAACAATTCTGTTTGTGTACCTGATAGCAACTGCATGTTCAAACACTGGAGAATATTCCCCCTAAATTAAGGTCTTTTTGTTCTTCATTCCTATACCAAATAAAGGCAGAAAAATGTGCACTAAATATACATACCATAGTTTTTGTTTTTACAGATTAGAATATATTAAATATAAATGAGTTAATAGTCACACTATTGATTTTACTTTAATAATGTGATTTTTATAGAATAATTCAAATCCTCCATAAACAATTTGGCAAAAGTTTCTAATGAAAATATTTTTATATTTCTTTGTAACCCATCCTGATACTAGATTGCCATAATTTTAAATTTATTATTTGTTGTTAATTAAGGGGCTAGAGTATTAATAGACCCTTATTTGTAAATATTACCAAATTTAAAACTTTTCATTTTTAGGAACTTTGAAGTGGTACCAGTTGATTTGAAATACAATCGAGTTACTTGAAAAATTCTGTAATACATAAATACAAGCCAAGAACTGACATGACAACTGGATTTTACTATCCCTAATTAAAAATGTCTGCATTTTGAATATTCATTTATTAGAGAGAAGTATTGCAAGTACTTGATATGAGGTTTGATTTACCTAATAAAACTGATATGCTATATAAAGTTCAGGAGTGATTGGCAGTTGAACATTCTAAGATCACACCATCTTGTTGGCTATTTGAATATTACTGAAAACATTAATTAGCTGTAAAATTATGGTTGTATGATAAGGTCTGTTTGCACAGTATGACTTCTGTCTTTTGTTTGTCCCTCCTACCTCTATTGATAAGCTTGTTTTGAAATGCTGGAATTTCAAAACTATTAGCAAAACTGCACAGGAAGTCACTTTAAGGAGGCAAACAAAATCAGATGCTCTATTCTGTGCATGCAAGACCTTGTAACAAGAGGTTATTTTTGTTGCCAAAGTAAAATATAGTCTGTATTTTTTCCTGTAAAACATATGATCCAAAGATACTGATCCAAGTCTTTGAGAAAAAAAAAATATTCCAAAGGAATACCACAATAAAAGTTATGAGTCAGTACTGCAGACTAACTGGTCCAGATAATCTTAGGAGATGGTTTTTCAGAACCCTTGAGAATGTTTCTCTGCAGTTACTAATTGTTCATTGTGATTAGGTACTTCAACACCACTTCAGAAAAATTATACTTTTGGGGTTAAACAATTACTCCTCTTTTGGCACCTGTACACCTCTTACTGTATAAATCACTGTTAACAGCATTTAGCTTATGTATAAACACATTTTAGGAATCCTGGGATGCTTCCATTAAAACTAAACATGATGGAATCCTTCTGTTCTTTACACTAATCATGCAGATCTAAAATGATTTTTCCTGCAGCGTGTTTTTAAAACTTTTAAGTTTCAAACTGCCCTCTATACACTTGGTTTGCCATTAGGCTCTTTACCAAAGTTGCCTATTATATTAATTCACAATGCCCTTTGCAACATGAAGTGATGCCAACCCATATCCTGGATGTATTTTAATTTAGTAATTCATACCTATAGTATGATCTAATGCAGTGTTTGATGTTCTTACCCAGATAACTTCTTACAAGCACATAAAATGTGCCTCTGCTCATGATGTGTTAGAGATTCTGAAATTAGTGTGCCTGAGTATTCAACAGAAACTATTTATTAGTAATAATGTAACTAATTACAGAGCCTTATTCAAGTTGGAACAGAATGGGATGTCTGGGGATGTCTACATTTTTTTCTCTATTGAACAGTTCAGTTGCTGATTATGAAAATTGCATCTGTAATATTTTGAGAGCTGTATTAACCATTGATCTTAGTGTTTTTATTTATACTTGTGTGATAGAATTGCATTTCATTACAGTAAAATAAAGTTCTGTTACTGTGATGATTTCATTAGAAAACCTATTAAACATTTCTGTATGACTGTTTAGATTTTACTTTCTTGCTTTATTCAGCTGCAGTACTAGTGACCCATGTCTCTTTATCTGAAGATATGAGAGATCCTATAAAAGATTCAAATTGAAGAATTAAAACAGTTTTTCCCACATTGTTATAACTGCACTAGGCAAATCCAATAAATAAAAAATTATGCTTATAATAAAGTATCTAGCTCTACAATCATCAACAAATTATTGCTAACAGTAATGAATGCACTGAATAAGATTCAGACTTGTGTCAACAAACTTTGCAGAGCCTTAGAAGGAGGTACTGCACTAGGCAAATCCAATAAATAAAAAATTATGCTTATAATTATTAAAGTATCTAGCTCTACAATCATCAACAAATAATTGCTAACAGTAATGAATGCACTGAATAAGATTCAGACTTGTGTCAACAAACTTTGCAGAGCCTTAGAAGGAGGTAACAGAATAGCGATTTCTGTGAATATTTTTTTCTCCCCATGCTGCTAAATAGTGCATATCTAGCAATACACTTTGGGGGTTATTAATTTGGGAGCATTCCTTCAATCTGCTCTAAAGCCTACATCAATTTTACTAGTTTAAAAAACTCTCATCTTTTAAGTTAAACAGCAATTTAGTCTGAACACATAAAGTACATTTGAAGCAGATTAGTTGTTTGTTAAAAGGTAATTAATGAAATATCTCTTTTGCCTTTATCAATATGCAACACCTATTCCTTCCTTAAAGTTCCTGTAAGTTTCCTTTTTGGCTTTTAGTCCATGGGCTTTATGAGCTGATGTCATTAAGAGGTTTTAAAACTAAAACTGAACATTTTTACATGATAAATCCATAATTAGTTTTCTCTCTAAAACAATTTCTTAATTGAGGGCATGTAGCATACATAAATAGTTCAAAGTACCAGGTTTTAAAGCAGGATAGATAAAAGCTGCATGCAGTAATGAGTCTCTAAAGGTACATGCACAGCTCCTCTTCCCACACCATTTCAGGTGCATGAAGATAGTTGGAGAGGTGTATGAGCCAAAATGTACTCAGGGATGGCTTCCCCGTCTCACTTCTCCAAGCACTGGTAACAGAATAGCGATTTCTGTGAATTTTTTTTTTCTCCCCATGCTGCTAAATAGTGCATATCTAGCAATACACTTTGGGGGTCATCAGGAAGATTCCATGCACCTTTATCTTCGCATATTAATCCACTTTTAAAACCTAACAGGGCAATCCAAGCATGTTATACCTCCACGCCCACTCAAGTGAGGCAAATTCCTTACTTTACATCAGCTCATGCCAGCCCAGCCTCGTCAAACCACCTCTGAGTCCAAATTGTCCCTTTCCGGAGCTGCTGAAAAAACAGTTACTAAGGGGAAGAATCAAACCTCTGAAAGGCAGAGGAATAGTCAAACGCCAAACACTAACTCAGCTTCCCCCAACAACGAGCAGCTTCCTGGCATGGCCCACTGAAGAGCCCTTCTGCTGCCGGTGAGAGGGAGGATTTATGGCCAGTTCTTAGAGGAGACCTGTTGGATGGAAGCTGCCCTTGTTATTCCATACAAGAGGGAAAAGCGCTCTCTACCAATACAGCCAAGGTTGTTGGTGGAGGTTAAAGGCAAGCCCTTCATTTATTGCTGTTTCAGTCATTGTTTTGGAAAGTCCAATGATAACAAGACATCCTTCAGAAAAACAGCAGTCCAGACCATAATCCAAGTGACATGAATCTCTTCCTGCTTCAAAAGATACATTTCTGCAAATACTTTCCAAGTTTCTGGCCCACTTTGCTCATTCAATCCCTGAGGGAAAAAAATGACACTTTCTACAGAAAGATCATTCCAAGGTGCTTAGGCCTTGCAATGGGTAACAATGCTGTGACAGTAATACAAGGCAGTTGTGATGGCTGCCATAAAGCTTGAAGGGCCATGTTGTTCAAAAAGACTCAGAGCTTAGATAATAAAAATCCGCTAAGAGGAAATTTTGAGCTTCAGTATAGATGGACAAATTATATGTTAAACTAACCGTTTTAATAATTTTTTTAAGGTTCAGGATAGATTTGAAAAGGATATCTTTCTAATGAGAAATACAAATTCACTAAATAGTTTTCACTTTTTTCTTTCTATATCTGTAGACATCATTAGGACATATGCAATATAACAAACTAATTAAAAACTGCCTGCAATAACAGGAAGAGAGAATTCATACTTGCAGCATGAGTAAGCCTAATAATTGATTAGAATTTCTAAATTACACAATCACGATACTCTGGGTATCTTACCAATGTCTAGTTTCTTTGGTTTCTTCTGTTTTTACTGTACTGAACTATAAACAACACTGCACAACATTTAAAGAAGTATCTCAGTGAGTACATCAGTCCTGGATAAAACTGCTGCACTTCATTGTTCACGAATGACATTTTCTCTCTTCCAGCACTTAGAATACATCTGCATACATCTCTGAATTGTCAGCAACAACACAAAGACTATATTTTGAAACAGTCTGTCTCCATAATCATAAGACTTCTTATTAAGGAATCCACAAAGTTCTGCGGAAAGCAGCTTAAAAACCATTATTTTACGAAGCTACAGTGGAAGTTATACTAGAGAGTAAAGGTTATTAATGATTGATATAGTTTGGATTCTACAGCCAAGATAACTCTTGCTTGGAAAAACGTTTATTTATCACACAGTAAGTACACTTTAGTAGAAAAACATTTAAAATTCATAAATAATGGTAGTCAGTATTTTACAGTATTTTAGTGTTCATCATGCTGCAAGTAGATCTACCTTCTCTTTTCTCCTATTAGCTAAGTGAGCTTCAATTATCTCTGCAAACAGATTTCTTTTCAGCAGGTTGTAAGCAAGAGGCAACAACTGGCCGACAATCTTGTGAAAATACTGCAAAAAAAATTCGAAAGATCACGGTAATGGTTTCACTGAAGTTGGTAATGTATTACAGAGCAATATAAAATTCTGTAATCTGTTTTTCATTTCCACCTTTTTCTCAATTTCTTAAGCACTTAAATCATTATATAGATAGCTACTGTTTGTCTACTGAACTTTTTTGGAGTCATTTGTTTCAGAGCCATGTATTATATTCCTATATGTTTAGAGACAATGACTCATATCCCATAAATGATTACTACTACAGAGAAAAACATTAACTTACATGTGACCCACAGCAGAAGAGGTCTATGCCCAGTTCATATCCCATTCCATAGTCACATTCATCATTGGCAAACTGAATGAAAGTTAACATTTCCTGAATAGGAGCAAAGGCTTTCAGTCTCTGGTCGTCATTAGGAGCATCTACAATGGTTTTGCAAATTCTTTTGAGACTTGCTATAAAGGAAAAGATTCCATGAGAACTGTAGTATAATATATTCCAGAACTATGCAATTTTTATGGATTTGATTCTGAAGAGATGCCTTTGGAATGCACAGGAGCACAAATTGCACCTGCCGACAACTCATTAAAGCACCTGCAAACTGCTTCCAGGACTGCACAGTTGCTTTGTGTTTCACACTCCCTTACATTTGGAAGCACCTCTTCCAAACTAAATCCAAAGCACTGCATATCTATATATTCTCTTTATGTGCAATATGTGCATTATTTTAAAATAAAACCACTTTAACTGCATAATATGCTAATTTGTATAAGTACAACAAATCTTCCAAGATTTTGGAAGTATCATGATTCTGGTCAATATTAATACAAAATGCAGGTTAATTGGTATCATTTTCTATCCCCTTTCTTACATAAATAAGTACAGAATTATAGCCTAAATTCCCACTAAAACCAATGGGACTTAAAATATGACAATGTTGCCCACCAATCTGAAATGGAATTAAATGCAATTAATATAAACCTAGCCTAATGAATTCCATGACAGAGACACAGTTGCTGCTACAACAAAGACTACTGTAGCACTTTTATTGATGTTCTCACTGCAAGGAATTCATGTCTTAATAAAATTAGTTGTCTCAGCTACGGAATTCTGCTGCTTTTAATCAATGACCTTACTAGATTAAAAACATGAGGAAAATACTAATTTCCAACTGTGTGCTTATATTTATCTATTTATCTATTTATTATTTTATTTATTTATTATTGTATTAAAATTTTTATTCCTGTCCACTCTGATACTCTGGGCAGCTATTTTCATTGTTTTCCTTTAAAAAAATGGCTATAATCAAATGCCAAAATATACACCATTAACAATGGCAAAATGGTACTTTTATTAATTTTATATTTTGAGAAAAAGTTCTGTAATACTTACCATTTGTTTCTGGAAGCTCTCTGTACCCAACATTATTCTTATCTACAGGGACAACTAGACCAGCTCCATGAAATGTCTTTGTTACTACCTGTTTTGAAAAAAGCAAGTAGTGTACAAACACTACCATTAGATACTATATGCAAATACACTATCCATCAAACACCAAGCTTATTTTTTGTTTTTGCTGTTTAATTGACTAATAAGTCAAATGCACATTTAAGTAGAGATATCCTGCTGATTTGAAAAGAGAAGACTTCTAGGTAAATTGATTACAGCCTAAAGATTCAACTAATAATTACCTCCAATATCACCTGGAGTTTAAAGGCCTCACTCTCTCCTATATATTATTCAAATAAATGGCAAGATTACAGACCAGATAATAGTTGTCCAAATTAAGTGGGTCTAAGATGAATATATTTAGCAAGGTCCACATCATATTTCCTGACATGCAACCAAATATCCTATTTAAAAAAAGCTAACTCTGGTTCCATCTCATAACCACAAGAAGAAGTTATCAGATATAAACAAAAGTTTGTACATATCACAGCATCTGGAAGAGTAGGACTGTTTTGCCTACTTCTCAATTTATGCAGCCAAAACAATGGTGACAAATTCAGTGAGAATGCTGGTGATTTGACTCACAAAATGTAAAACTAATTGGTTACAGTGTTCAGGAACTCTACCACCTGTTTGTAGATTCTTGTAGAAAAGGCATTTCACCACTGGAAAGAACTTAGCTGGCATTGTGCGAATACAATGGTGTCAGATGTTCATCTATTTATTATTTATTGTTGGTGAGATATAATAAACAACTACCATACAGGTAGTCCTCACTTAGCAACCACAGTTGGGACCAGCAACTCAGTCGTTAAGCGAAGCAGTTGCTAAGTGAAAACAGAATTGTGCTTACGATCTCATTTCAGCTTTCCTTTGCTTTACAGACCTGCGAAGGTCATAAATGTGAGGATTGGTTGCAACCTTTTTTTTTCACCACCTTCGTAACTGCGAACAATCGCTAAATGAGGACTACCTGTAATATCACAATAACTGATGAATATACAATATAATCACTGTCGTGTATGAAGATTTTTAAAATAAACTAAACATAAAAACTAAAAAAAAAACCCATATAGTAGTAATTTGGCATTAATATGAGATTAATTCATTCCTTAAACTTATTATATCTAGATCATATAGAAATATACTGTTCAATCTCATTTTTAACAATAAAGACATTTTGAAAATACGCTGCACATATGGGTTCACTTCTTGACCCATAAATAATAAATAAAGGATAAATAATTTATCCTCTGCCAAGAGGATTAATAATGCCAAAGTTCTTCCTAAAATCACAAATTCCATATCATGGGAATATAATT